AGGCTGAAGTGACCCAAGTCTGATTTTTTTTCTTCTCCTATGTGACCTGTGTCTGGTCTTTTCATGACAATCTGAACAACACAGATCCAATTAATGAGGAATATCTGAATATTCGGCACAGTCGGGGGACACTTCCACCCCGGGAGAGCGCTCCGATGGGGTGGAAGTGACCGGAACACACAGGCAGTACTTGGCTGCTGATACCGGTTTAGTTATTGGTCACAGTTCTGTTTCCACCACCATGGGGGAGTGGCAGATACGCTCCACTGTTACCATCCACGTTTACCTCCGTGAACACTGAGCACGCTCACTGCGTGTGACGTCGTCGTGTCCTCTTCTACACATGCGGGACACTTTTAGGTCGTATGAAGTTCACACAGCAGATCACATACAAGCCGCATTTAACCGGAAATGTGAACAAACTCACAAACAAATCCAAATTGAGCATCAAGTCCTGCAGTCTGAACATAGCCAATCTGTGAGATTGTTCAGTCAGATAATACGCCATTATTCCAGTCTCTGTAATAAGATGCTGTGATCCACTGGATCAACTGAAGAGAAGTTGATGATGTCTAATACACTGTGTTAGTTAAAAGAAAGATGTTCTTGAACAGTCTAGTGGGGATTGGGTCTAACAGACATGTTTCTGGTTTAGAAGAATTCACTATCATTGTGACCTCTGGGAGATTTACAACAAAGATACAGCCCAAGTCTAAGTGTGGTCCTATGTGTGGCTCCAGAGCTGCTGCACCTAAAGATTTGTTCAGGACTTTTTGTCTAAGATCCAGAACTTCATTAGTGAAGAAGGTCATGAAGTCTTCACTACCAAGAGCAACATGAACACAAGACTCCACAGAGCTGGGACTCTTGCCGAAGCTCTCCGTGCTGAAAACAAAGCGGAGGATGTTTATCTCTATTTAAGATGAATAATGAGCAGCTCTCATCCTATGAATCACTTTCCTTTAATTTAGTTATTGCTTTATCAGATAAGCATCTGCTGTTATGGAGCTCTTTGGCAAATGTTCTGTAGTCCATTATTATAAATTCTAATGCTGTTAAAAAATGATAAAAGGTTTTGTCGTCATGTTCCAGTTCTATGCCATATGTCAACACAAGATCAAGGCTTAAAACTGCAAGTTGGTTTATTTACATTTTGAGAAACACCAACAGAGTCTAACAATGATCCAAATGCAGAAGCTGTCGTTCTCATTATCTACGTGGATATTAATCACCCGCGATAACAACTTCATATCTACTGAGCACTAATCAGCTAAGAACTCTGAGAATTCAGATAAAAATTCAGAGTAAGGGGCCGGTGGTCGATATACTGCAAGCAACAGAGCTGGGTTTAGTGTTTTCTAATTCCAGTGTGTGAGAGCAGTAGTAATGCTTTCATATGTTTTAGTTTGGTTTGGTTTTGAACAAGCACCTATCCCACATGGTGGTATGACCCTTGAAACGTTACCCAAACCTTTGAATAACCTTGAACTGATGCTGTTTTGCTGTTGAATCAATGACAAATCCCATCATGCTGAACAAAAACAAGGATTTTGCTTTAGACTGTGACACCTGTGGTGAAACATTTATTTATGCATTTAGTTCAGTAAAATATGAATGCAAAATATAAAACACGTTTTATTTTAATGTTACAAGTTCACAAAAATCTTCAAATTTAGAATTACATTTTAAAAACTAACGAACTAGGGGTGCCGCTATAGCTCACTGGGTTGATCCAGCGTCCCATGTGCAGGGCTACAGTCCCAATGTGGAGGTCATGAGGTCAAATCCCACTCATGACCCTTTCCCACATGTCCTCCCCCCATTCTTCTCCCCCACTTTCCTGTTTCTCTCTGACTGATACTATCCAATAAAGGCACAAAGGCCAAAAAACTAAAATAAAAATACATTTGAATTAAAATACTCATTATTTATTTTCCAAAGCCACAAGGAGCCACAGCAGAGGTAATGAAAGAGCCACATGCGGCTCCGGAGCCACAGGTTGCCCACCACTGCCTTAGAACAACTTCACTCTCTACTAACCATCACAAGACAACGGTGCCACCTGGTGACGACAACACACAATTGCCAACATTAATCCTCAGACAGCTGTGAAAAGTAAGTAGATTTACTCAAGGACTGTACTGAGCATTGAATTAAACATCGACAAAGATGTGAAAAGTAAATGAGTTCGAAACACATCCACTTGACACAGACAGCACACACAC